ACAAAAGTACATTAATTCTATTTTTCAGAACAAATATACCCCTGAAGTATATATTGTAGTGCATATATATCCCTGATATTTTAAAAAATACAAAAATACCTCTCATATTCTTATAATGAAGCAAATTTTCCGTTATTGACTTTAAATAGATCAAATAAATTTCAAAAAAACACCAAAAATAAATTATAAATTCAAAATTTTAAAATAAAGATGTATTATTATATTAAAATATTAACTCTTTACTTTTAAATTGCAACTTTGTTATTATTCCGTTGTAAATGAAACACTTCAAATTCATTAATTTTAATTTTAGTCTTGTTGTGATATTTTGAACATATTGTTACATTTTTTGAAATAATATTCTTTGCTTTTGTTTAACCTTAATAAAATTAAATTCACAATTTTGTAATCTTGAACTATTTATCAACATCCAAAATGTGTAATTTTATAGTGCAAAGAATGCAAAAACTTAATATATTTTTTTACATTGCAAGACATATGTTAACAATTTTTTGAAATAATCTTAAATATATAGTAAATTTTTTATATAATATTTTTTTTACCAGAAAACAAGTTTTATTTATGGTAGTAAAAGTTACAAGAAAGGAAAAACAAAACAAAAACGGGAGAAAAAGTAAAAGAAAGCCCAACCCGAAGTACAATATAAACCCTCCCAAGATAACTCTGAGTCTCTATTTAGTAATCAACATTCTACTCGTGTTTGAGATCTAGTTCTCATAAGATGAGATCGCTGATTCTTCTTCCTGTACACCTTAATTTGAGTATTTAGATTCTCTGTAGGCAAACAGTTTTCTCTTGTAACCAACAAAGCTTTGTTGCAAATATTCTGATTCGTATCAGAATCCCATAAATCTTCCACCGAAGTAATAGGTGTCCTCTTTTCGCTTTCCGAAGCGTGACCGAGAAAATCATCCCCCGAGTTAAAATCATCCTCACTATAAAGAACGTCAGTATGGGTACCTGAAATAAACTCCCTCGAAGTCCCAATATCTATTTTTTCGTGAGCGGGTCTATTATCCAAACTGTCTCGATTATCTACAGAAGAAGCAATGATTCTTTCAAATTCTTTGATTAAGAATTGAGAAAGTGAGTCCACCCCTTGCGACATAGTGATCTGAAAGAAATCTTTATATAATATTTTATACTAACAATATTAAATTGTGATATACAATCAATAAAGGAAAAATTGAAAATAATAATCCCAACTATTGTCGGACCGCTGATAATAATCCCAACTATTGATTATTTTTGTATAATCCCAACTATATGGACCGTCCGCCAATAATGGTCCATGACCAAATATTACCTCCTATAAAAAGTGAATTTTAAATAGAAATTAAGCGTAAAAATTAAAAGTTGGGATTATTTATAGGGAGTACTCGTTATATCTCTTTCCATCCACTTTAGAAACTACAACAATTTATTTATAGGGACCATTATTGGCGGAAGGTCCCTAAAGTTGGGATTATTTTGAAATAATCGATAGTTGGGATTATTATAGGCGGACCGCCAATAGTTGGGATTAATACTATCAATTTTTCCATCAATAAAAGGGGGAATTGGACACAAGTACTTTTTTAATTATTTTTTTTATTTTTTAATTTCGAATTTGTAATTTACTTTTGGAGTTTTTTTTAAATTTTTTTTATAAATTTAAAATCAATAAAGGTAAATTTGCTCTTTTATTTGAATATGAGAGGTATTTTTGCACCTTTTAAAAGCTCAAGGGTATCTATACACTTTCACATATATTTCAGGGGTATATTTGTTTTTAAAAATAGAACAGATGTATATTCATTTTCACAAGTCACACCCGTACTACAGGGTTATATTTGCACCTTTTCCGTTTTATTTATTACTCCCTCCGTCCTAAATTGATGGTCATATACCTTTTAGGCTCAAATATTAAGAAAAAGTGGTAGAAGGACCCATACAATCTTACTTTATTGTATTGTTCACTCATTTACTTTTACTGTCCATTAAAAAAGAGGTGTACAAATGGTAGTCTACTTTAATTTCTTTACCAGAAAGGGAAAGGTGTGACTATCATTTTGGGAGAACCCAAATAGGAAATACAAGACCATCAAATTGCGATGAAGGTAGTAATATACTAATATTTTTTTTTTGAAAAAAATATTGTTTGATTTGTTTCAAACTTTGATTTTTTATTTTTTTACTAATAGATAATTATATATATTAACAGTCAAAATTGTGCACAGACAAGTGTTCAGATCATTGCGCTTCTTTAATAATGGAGAAAGTATGCTATCATGGGAGAAATAAATTTATCATCAATTAAACATTTTAAACCATACAATAAAGTTTAATATACAATGAACGTAATATTTTAATTTTGATTGGTGATCACTTAGGGATATTATATTCCATGAAACTCCAATGATATGGAATTATGTGCATTACCCCCACTCCCCCCAATCCCCTATAGTTTAGAAAATGTCTCAAAATCACATGTGTTATCAGAAGCCATTAACGTATTACTTTGACATAATAAATTAAAACGTTGGGTAAAATGAATGTTCTTATAACATTAGGCCCAGTTTGGTTGGAGGAGTTCGGAGGGGAGCAGAGGAATGTGAGTGATTTGTGTGTGTTTGGTTAAAGGAAATAGGGGGGAAGGGGAGGAAAGTGGAAGACTTCCAAAAATTTTCACTTCAGTGGTGGACTCGGGTCGGGCCACCCGGCCCGCGAACCAGCCCGGCCCGCAGCTGTGCGATCCCGGGACCGATCCGGTTCACCGGTCCGGGTACCGGGCTTTGACCCGGCCCGAGGGGGAGACGGTTTCGGGCATGGTTCCTTCAAAATGAAACCCGACCTGGCCGGGCCCGGTTCGGCCCAAAATGATTTTTTTTTGTTTTTTCATTTTTTTTGGGGTTCCACACAGGTTGGGCTTGATGTTCAGGAGGGGTTTGAGGGGTTTGGGGGGTGGGGGTGAGGGATACTTAGGAAAGCAAAAAAAAAAAAAAAACCCGGGCCCAACTATTGGCACCAATTTTTTTAATATTCTTCCCTAGAAGTATGCGCATATTTGAGCCCAATTTATGTGCATATTTCTTCCGAAATACCCACTCAGTGAAGAATTTTGGAAGTCTTCCACTTTCCCCCCCCTTCCGAAATACTCCCTCCGTCCCGCTAAGAGCATCTTCAATGATACAATGTGTACGGTGCACACGTGACATGAGAGATGACCACATAAATATTAGTAAAAAAATTATTTCTCTCCTTATTTGAATGATTTTATATAATTTTGGTAAGTTTTTCTCTACAATGTCAAGGAGACCGTCTAATGTTGACATTGTTGTTGACATTGCAAGGAAAAACTTACCAAAATTGTATAAAATCATTCAAATAAGGAGAGAAATAATTTTTTTGCTAATAATTATGTGGCTATCACTCATGCCACATGTGCACCGTGGACATTATAACATTGGAGATGCTCTAAGATTGTCCCATTTTACCTTTTCCAGAAGTCCCACTAAGATTGTCTCATACCAAATTTGGTAAAGTTTGTGTGGCTCTAAATCATTCTTACTTTATTTTTACTTTATCAATTTAATATCAACCACGCAAATCCACTTTTCTTAATAATCGTGTCACCTTCAGACCTTCTCTTGTCCCAATCTTAGTGGGCCGGAAGTAGTACCCACTTAGTGAACATACCCACAGTCATGCACATTTATCATTTACACTATTGGCACCAATTTTTTTAATATTTACACCATTGACACCGAATTTTCCACTTTAAAATTGATCTGATCCATTCATTAACTCATTTTAACGGCTTAGATTACTTCTCATATTTCATATAAGGAGTACTTTTTATTTGAACCTCCCTCTAGTAATCTAAACAAATATGTGCATTAGAACGCACAAAAATGGGCTCAAGGCTCGAGCCAGGCTCGTATCGGGATTTTATAAATGTTCTATCATTGGTGGATTTGGTGTGGACGGGTCCAAGCCGGCCGAAAATATGGGCATAACCACATGTCCAGACACGCCCGTAAGTGCAGGCCAAATAGTCCACGAACCGCCCGGTCCAGGAAAACTTTAAAATGTTCAAAATTAAATAATTTTTTTGAATACTTCTAAAATAATATTACAACACTAAAAAATGTTAATATACGTATGTTTATAAGCATCTCACCTCATACACAAAAAATACTTGCACAAAGATAATACCGAGAAACAATAACTAAAACTTAAAAAAGGATACTATGTAATAGATATTATATTGGTTGGGCTAATTATTAAGACATAACAAATTATATGGACTTCAATTAAAACACAACAAATTATAATTATATATAAAGACTAATGAGTAAATATAAATATACGCATTTACGGTGAATAAATGAGTATGTATATATAATATATATGTGTGCCGGGCTTATTGGCCCTAGGGATGGACTCGGGCCGGGCCAACCTGCCCGGAACCGGACTGGCCCGCTACTGTGCGGGCCCGGACCGGCCCGGTGGTAAAGCGGTCCGGGCCCGGGCCTCCAGTTTAGTGAACCGGCCCGGCCGGGCCGGGCCCGGTTCGGGCCGGAATTTAATTTTTTTTTTTGGGAAATTTTTTTAAGTTCTGGGTTGGATTAGGTATTTTGGGCCATTTGAGGTGGTTTGGAGTGGTTTGGGGTGGAGAGGGGTAGGGGGTTAAATAAGAGAAGAAGAAAAAAAAATCAGGGTGGCCCGGTCCGGTCTGGCCCGGAACCGGACCCGGAACCGCCCACCACCGGTTCGGGCTCGGGCCTCATTTTTCTGAACCGAGGCCCGGCCGGGCCCAGGCCCGAACCGGAACCGGTCCACCCCTAATTGGCCCGAATTGGCCTACACTCCAACCCAAGCCCGTCCATATGCTATTGTGGACCCGGCACGACGGGCATATTATGCCCAAGCTCGCCCATCTGTATGGGCGGGCTGGGCGGTGTAACCCATTTTTGTGCAGGCCTTGTGCATGTGACTAAACATTATGCAAGATTTCTCTTTTGGTTTGATTGCATGACCGGGAAAGCGGTAGTTAGTAGCTAAATATAAACAAGTGATTAACTATCACCCTTCAGGTTCATTATTGAACAGGACGAGACTACAAGGTTACTTGGAGCAATGAAAGCTATTTTACAAATATAACACCATGCCAGATTGCCAGGAATGTAGGAGGAAGAAAAAAAGAATCTCACTTATAGCTACATGAAAATTTTCACCACAGGCAGGGGAAATCTGACACTCACTGGTTTGGAGCAAGAGAAGGAAAAGTGGGGATGGATTGAAGGATCAGCTTGCGGCTACTCTTTCGTCCCGGAGAAGAAGTACCGAACTCACTGTCAGGGGGAATCACCCTCTTACTATTTGGAGATCCCGACTTCACCCCACTGGTTGGGGAGGTGTTTGACTGAAGCATTTCTGGGATTTCATCCTCCTTGATCGTCTCAAACTGCTTCTTCTGAAACTTTGGAACAGAATGTACAAAATAGCCTGGTCTTCCCGTTCCAGATGAAGATCCAACCGAGAGAAATGATGACCGAGGAGGCCTGTTCTTGGAGGTTAATTGGGATTGCACTGGCACTCTGTACAACAAATGTATGTTTAATAAGTTATGTATACAACACTTGCGGGCTTTTTGGTAGCCTTAATTTTTTAATAAATCAGCCCCCCCCCCCAAAAAAAAAAAAAAAAAAAAAACTAACTTCTCACACAAATGATGAAAGAGATAGTGCGTGAGATGGGAAGTTTCTTTATGACTGAAATGGAAGAGCATTATATGGGGGTTTCCTATAATATATTACAATAATATTATACGTAGTAGAACTCATGAACAAAAATGTGATCACATTGTCAGTGCAGTCACTACATGACTCGGTCTGGAGGGCGTAGCTCAGCTGTTGAATTCCAGGTTCAATTCTATACAAAGACTTGGGCTGAATCCCCACTCTCTCCTCACCAGTTTGTGATGAAAGCTCAACTTTCATCCTACCATTTAACTGTTCAGCCGGTTCTGAGGGGCCCTCAAGGATGGGGTGTCATCCTTTTTTAGTTACTACGGTCACCATAGTTACTTAAGTATAAATTTCACTGCACTTAGAAAATGCCATTTTGGTCACGACTTAATAATATCACATTTTGACCATTATTTATTATAGTATTGTGAGAAATATTTTTATAATTATTTCAAAATATATTTGTATATATAGTACTCCGTATCTTTAATTTACTGGACTTTTTTATTCATTTTTTTAAAACTTTGAGCAATCCAATCACCGGTTTATATATTTGATGTCTTAAGCAAGTGGCTCTTCATTTCTTGCAGTGTGAAATATTTCTGGTTCAGTGCACCTACCTCTTGAATCGTATTGGAGTTGAAGGTAGAACTGAATCAGGAATGTGTTCAATTTCATTATGGATAACAAGCTTCTGCCAAGTCCCATCAGGTATAGTAGCTGTTTCATCTTCTTCCAAATCAGGTTCCGAACCTGCGTTTTAAGCAGTAAATATAGAAACATTAAAGACAGACAACTTTTATCACGAGATGGTTAAGAAATATAAGAATCTCACACTGAAATATTATTATATTAGAAAGAGACGTATGAATTCATAAGATTTAGGATGTTTTTACATGGACTGTAATTTGCTGGTCTGGTATGGTCTGGTCTGATCTGGTCTGGTCTGAACTGATCTGGTTTCTTTGTATTTTTATAACTATCCAAGACTGGTCTGGTCTTGTCTTGTCTGGGACAAATTACAGTCCAAGTAAAAACATCTTAAAGGAATCTCACATTGAAATATTAAAGACAGACAACTTTTATCAAGAGATGGTTAAGAATCTCACATTGAAATATTATTATATTAGAAAGAGACGTATGAATTCATAAGACTTATGCTAGACCATCAGGATTCAATATTTGAGTGTGATCTGACCTATATGCATTGTGGTGAATCAGTGTAATCCATATTAGGGATAGACAATGTTCAGGTTCAGAACCAGGAACAAGATTGTAAGAAACAGGGACTGAAACTAGAGAAACGGGTGAGGGCCGGGTGCCCAAACTGGTGGCTCTTGTTCCCATTGTTTTGAGAATTCTCGCGCAAAAGATAATAATAAATCCAGTTCCAAACTTGAACTGCCTAAGATCCGAACCAGAAGCGGTTCTGGATAGGTTCCCCTAGGTTCCCAAAGTCAAGAACTGGCAGATCTGGATTTAGAGACGGAACCAGACCATTCCGTTTCCAAGCCCAAGCCCGGTCCAATTATGAATTCTACATTGTTATCGACAACCAAAATCAGAATGTCGAGTTTCTCAGAGGACAGAGACTAGTTTTTCAATGAAGAGTGACAGGTTTAATGGATAGTTCGATCACTTCGATGAGACCGTCTCATGACTAGTCAGAGAATCCATGAGACCATTTCATGCGAGTTCTAGTGTTCTTGTTTAAGCAGCACTTTAAAAACAAACATCAGAGACTCACCATCCTTTCTACCAAATGGATTCTTGCAGGCTTCACATCTGCAATTAACAGAGCATCCAACACCACCCTAAAAAAGAAGAAAAAAATAAATTCCTCGCATCAAAAGAAAATGAAATCCATATGGGATGCACTGAGGATGGGGACAGGATGAAGAACCTGAAAGCATTCACAGTATTTCTTCAAGCAGCCAGATTTCTTGCAGTTGCATCCTCTTTTATGTCGGGCTGAAGCAGGAGTTTTATTGGAGTCATCCTACAATGATCGTGAAATGAGAAATCATTAGTTGTTATGACGTCCCCTTTTTTGTATTTTTTTATTTTTTTTTTATTTTTACTCCACGGGGCGTCTGGGGGAGGGGGGCTGGGGGAGCCTGGAGTAATCTAGGCTAAAACTCACTCCATTGAGTTTCGAACCTGAGACCTCCCGTAAGGAAGAGTGAGTCGGCGACCAGCTGGGCTGGACCGCTTTCTCTGTTATGACGTCCCCTATTGATTAATAAAATATAAAACAATAAAGCAACACAATACCATATTAGACTACTCTCACATTCACCTTTGGGGATGGATCATCAAGTCACACTAAGGGGAAGAGAAAAGGGGAAGAATTTAAAGAATTTTGATGAGGACACCGCTACCTATCAAATTTCTCTTGGGGTAGAAAAAGATAGATTTGATATAATTTTTGTTGTAAAGCAATATAGCAATCAATACTTCAAATGTTAACAATTATAATGTAGAAAACAGTTGGTAAATAAAAGGTCAACACAAAATTAAAAAATATATATATTCTGATGAGATATTTAGGGAATTGATAGTTCTTCCACTTTCCCTCCAAACTCACACAACCAAACATAATACTCCACTTTCCTACCTTTTCTCTCCAAAGCTCTTTTAACCAAACACAGAGATAAAGTCATTAGATAAGGCAAACATTGAATGGTTGAATGTATATATCTGATACTAACCCCAGTATCTGGCATAGAATCATTAGCCCGAATGACTTTGGGAGCAAAAGCAAGTGGATTTCTTGACTCGATCTGTTTGCGGGTTGCAAGGACGGTGTCTTCATGAATGGGTTTGTTGAAGCACTCTTGACATAAACAAGGTTCCACACAGTAGACACCCGCCGCAAAACATTCGCAATAACTGCTACATTGAGTTCATATTATTTATCATTGTTATGGTATTGTTTTTAATTTATGTTTATGCATTCTTTTAAACAGAAAATAGGAAAAATTTATGGCAGCAGAGTTTTTTTGGCAGTAGGAAAGCAGAATAATCACAAACTATGGGAAAATGGGAATTTCTTGCTTTCATTATTTTCAAAAACAAAATGCAACATAAGGTCATATATTTGTATAGTAAATGATATAAATCATTTACACAGAGCAGATATATCAAACATGATATTTTATTTTAGAAACCTTAAAGAAATTATAACATAAGGCCTGGTTATTGTAGTAAACAAATTATAACATAGAATGTAACGCTGAAATAACATGGACTAGGAATGTAGACCAAGGAAGTATGAGTCCCAATTTTTTTGAATAACTCGTGTGATTTATAGATTAAATGTGAGACTAGATGTCAATAGATTTCTAGAAAACCATACTATCACTAAGCACAATTGGAATGAAATATATATCAGGTCAATTTTTAACTTACAGTTTCAAGCACTTTGATTTCTTGCAGTTGCAGCGTTTGCAACTTTCACTTTCTTTGGGTTCCACTTTACGCCTGAAAATCCAGTTATTAGTAAGATAAACGTGCAAGAACCATAAGAGGTGAAATAAGAAATGTGATTTCTCCCTAACTTTAAGGGCTCATTTGGTAAGTGCTATTTGACAAAAATTGATCTGTGAAAGGTAAAGGCCAAAAAGCATTTGGTAACATCCATTTCAGTGAAATTAGTAGGTCCAAAGCTACTGATCCAAAGCATTTGGTAACATCAATTTCAGTGAAATTAATACTTCACTACCTTAAATCTGGCTTATTCTGCTTATTAGCATAATAAGAGGTAGTGAAGTACTAATTAGAATACACAGAATGTAGCCTCTTTTGACTTCCTTATTAAGCTGAGAACAACCAAGAACTGGTTACCAAACGGAGCCTAAAATATACTATGTAATTTATTTGTGTATGCTTTGTGGAGAAGGAAGAGAAAGAGAGAAAGGCATACTTCTTTTTCTTCGGACTAGTCGGATTAAGATCGTCATTACCAAAATATCTATTTTCCATACATGCATCTTCTTCATTAGAAGGAACACCATTTTCGTATGGAACTATTTCTCTTTCTGAAGAAGACATTACAGCCAGGGATTCTTGACTGGTAGTAGTAGTACCTACTGAATGATGATAACTGGGGGCTGAACTGGGTCCAATTGTTAGCTGCATTCCCATAGCATAAGATCCCTTCTTGGAACCATCCCTAGAGGTTGCACCAGCAAGGGCATTCAAATGCAACCCGATTCCAGGTAAGATGCAACGTGAAGAGGATTCACTTCCAGCAACTAAATGTCGTCTTTCATTTGAGGTATTATTGTTTCCTTCATCATTTTCACCCAATAATGTGGAAGAACCAGAACCTGAATTGTCATTTAAAGTCTGTCTCCTAGCCCCACCTGCTTCAAAGACCAAACAACGCCTTCTCATCCCACGGTATAGCCCAGAGACCATCTGCATAGGATCAAAGAGAAATGAGAGGAGCTATTACAAACAAATATTTGGGGCTTAATTGTTTTTGAGACATTATTACATTCACATTAACTTTGGTTCTGAACTATTGTGACCAAATTGGCAAATGGGGTGCATCTAGAAATAGATTTACAAATTTACCGTGAATATAAAGAACTAGGCCAACTTGGGGGAGGAGTACTAATTTGGGGTGTTTATCAGTTCAGATGGGTTGGTTCGATTTAAAAAAAAAAAGCAAAATCCAGAAATCAGCCAATCACTTGATTCAGTTTTGGTTCAGTTATTTCCGATTAGTTCGAGTGAACTTAGGATGGTTTTGGCAGGTTGTAGTCAGTTTTGGTCAGTTTGTTCAGTTTTTAAAGTACAAATTTGAACTGTAAAGTGAACCACCTAAGGTTGGGTCAATTTTGGTCGGTTCGGTTTTTGTTGGTTTAGTTTTGGTTGGTTTGGTTTTGGTTGGTTTGTAGGTCTGTTGTTAAGCCCTAGAGTCCAAATTATCAATCCATGCAAGCTAGGCAGACAATTCTTGAAATGGGACCAAAGTATTCTTTCCAGCTTTAATGTACTTTGGTACCATATTAAGATCCAAGTTCAATCATAAAACATCATCAAAGCCATCCACTAGTCCTGCACCAGTTTAGGTGAGTTATTACATCTTCAATGTAGTTCGTGGAGGTTGTCAAAGTGCCCCACATTGTGAGTTACGCACATATCACCCACCATATAAGTAATTCTCACAGTTTAGCTCTGATATGTTGATTGATTTATTTAAATGGCATTCTGCCACAACCATGTTTACCTTCATCATTCAATTTTTGTATCTAAGTGAAACGAATTCCTAACCTCAACATCTGTTTCATTTGGTCCTCCTATCCTGCTGTTGTCCAAAGAAGAATCTGGAGCTCTGGCTAAAGTCTCATCACATTGCTGCACATCACTTCCCTCAATGGGCTGTGTACATTGGTTCTGGGTCTCACTTCCCCCACCTTCAACTACTAAACAAAATGTTTCCATGTTTTGTTGTGCCTCATCACTCGTGGCAAAGGAAACGGGACTCGGACTAGTGGTACCCATTATTTTCTTGAAGGCATCTGCATCATTGGGTGAATCAAAGACTAACAGATCGGCACCGCCTGTTATCATCAAATTCTCCCATTCACACCCTGTTGTAGCCTCTTTGTTCTTATCAGCTTCTTGATTACTAACTGTGGCCACCCCATTTACCTTGCTTCCTTGAGATTCCTTCTTTTGGCCCAACAGGCCGGAATTAGGACTGCTACATTTGTAATCTAATGTTCTTACAGTCTCAACCGCAACCTTTGTAGATTCACAAGATGGCTGGTCAAGAATGCAATTTTCAGGATCAACACTTTCCTGTTTCTTACTGTCATTATTAGCCTCACCTAAATCAATGTCCTTGGGTTTCTCAACTCTATTATTATCAGAAGAAAACTCTGGCTTTGATGGGTCTGAAAGTTGCTGCCTGCAGATGGACAAAATACAACTTAGAGAGGTAGAGTGTATATAAATTCAAGATGTCCGGTTCTATCCTAAAAGGTTAAGACAAGAAGCTAAGGGTGTTAATATTTGGTATGTACTACATATATTTTTATTTCTTAAGCCATCAGCCAAATGTAAAAATATAAATTTAGCTACTCCTACTATGAGACTGACCTTAAAGAATAGAATCTTAGAGACTTAATAGGGCATTGAAAGTTGAAACATATAATACTCACTTATGCAATATTGACATGATGAAACTACACTACCTCAAAAGGAGTTCAACAGTTCTACTTCAAGGGTCCCCCCCCCCCAAATGTCCGATTTTAAAATAAAAAATACTACGTACATGCATAGCCAAGTAGCGAGCGGTTCTTTTGAGATAGTGTACTAATTATACTTTAAATTGTTAAAAGGTGTTTCAGTTATCATCTCACGATCCTTGAAAAATAGTTCAATAAAATTAAACAAACAAATCCGACAAAAGAGATGCAAAACTATGGTGAGTAAATAATGTACCTTCTTAGGAATCTTGATTCCCTTAAGCTGCTCACATGAGGTGAAGTAAAAACCGACGGAAGAGATGCAAAGCTAAGGGAATTGAATGTCTGAGTTGTGTGAGCAGACTTGACCGGCTGTTGTATTGGTGAAAGGCTGTTAAGAAAATTGAACACAGGAGAGTCCTGCAAGCAAGGCAAGGAAATACTAAGATAACCACGTGAAAACCATCAATACATTTGAATTACTTGTTTGAGCTTAATATAAACAGATATCAATTTAAGACTACTTTTAATATGTCTATTTTTATTGCTGCTCTATACTTTGACATGTATTCCTCTTATTTACAAAGGAAAAATTAATACAAAAGTATGAACTATGCAGTTCTTTTCTGGTAAATGGGAAAGAAAATGTTTTTTTTAGATCACAAATAAAAGGAAAGTGGAAGAATTTTTGGAACTAAGAGGGATATGGTATCAATATTGGGTGGCTTAGTAAATCAAACATGTAATAATAAATCTAAAAATTTCTTGTGCAGAAGTAACTGGGCAGTTGCAACTAATTAACCACAGATTGCATGTTTTCAAAAATGAGGGAAGGGGCCGATATTAGACAATAAATAAATTAAATAAAAAGGCAGTTAATTCCAATGAATGTGAGCAAACCAAAACTGATGCATTATTTGTCAAATCAAAGCTTTCAAATCCAATATGATCTAATTAACCAAAATCTTCATTTCTTGCCAATGTTTCAGAATTAAGATCAGACAAATCATAAAAATAACAGTCTGATTGTAACACTTCATACAGAAAATTCAGACTAATGAGTCCAAAAACTCTGTAACTTACAAAAAACTGTCTGCTTCAAACACCATACATCAAACAAATTGGAACTGAGAGAGGATAAAACAGAACTATTGGGTTAAACAAAACACCATTGTCATTCTAACCATTCACTGATTCACAGAATAAATGCTGATATACACATGCAAAAAAGGATTTACTCTGTTTAAACGCATACACAAAAGGCCCCATCTAGAGAAAAAAAAACTCCATCCTGACAAAAAGACTCAATTCTAGAAATCAATTTGCACATGAAGGGTACTTATCAAAGACACAATCTCTTGAACCAGGGATATAACATCAAAATCGGCTAAAGATGCAAACTTTATGACCAAATCAGTAATTAAACCTCGAATTTGGATGAGGGTGTTGCGATCTGGGCATTCTTGTTCCTCTCTGGAGTATCCATGGCCTCCACATCGCCCCCTCCCCCACCCTTCTTCCCCTCTAAAATGACACTCTCTACCCTCATCACTCTCACCACTCTCACTAAAACCTCAAAGATTATATATTTTCCCCCTCACAGTCAAGAAAAGCAAGAAATTCAAGTAGAAGCGGGAAGATGGAAAAGAATCGACTTTTCTCGTGCTGATAAAACCTTTGGGGCCCACCACCCTTTCCCCTACCCCCTCCCCCACTCCACCCCGGTCGCTCAACACAAAGGAAATATGCCACCGCAACCCAACAAGCACAGTTGTAGAGGGAAAGAAACATATGTTGAGAGAGGATGGATGAAGAGAGGGAAAATATACAAACTAACAAAAGTAACGTACACTGTAGAGAAAAAGATCGAAGAATGGGTTATATTGCCCAAACAGTCCCCACTCCTTTATTCATTTCATTCCTGCCCCGGAAACTTTATCTCTTTGGCGTTTGACAATGTCAAGAACCAAAAGAGGAAACTTGAGATAGCGATTTGTAGCCTCAAATTTTGGTGCCACGAATTACGAAGTATGGATTTAGTCTTCAGATTCAGTTAGGAAAATCCTGGAGTTACCTAACATTGTAGCGTAATGTCATTTTGACAATAAAGAAAAAAAATGTTGGACCACTTTTTTGTCAAATTTGTCCAAGAATGCGTCTTTATTAAAAATAAAGTAAAATAAATAAATGAGAATAAACCACTCTTTGTTGTACATTACCTTTTGTGACGAACTTGTCTCATGGGAGTAGTTTAATACGTAGTACAATAGTATTTGTCATATTTTAGCGGAATTTATATAGTCAAAATGTTTATTTCAAAACACGTTGATATGATAAATGACTCACAAATTCTCACCTTTTCAGATTAGTAGATTCTGATCATTTATCATCTCAATATGTTGCATAGTGAGCGTGCTCCATAGAGAACACGTTGGTGTGGTACATATATTTACTTCATATTTTAGTGTACATACATTTTAGAAGTTGCAATTTGCTAATATGAACCTATTAATACTAGTGTGTTGCCATTATTTATTTAGATAATAAAAGCACAATATAGTTAAGTTCCTTGCTCTATCTTTGAAACTGTCTCCTGCGGTCAGTTTCCAAATTAACTTAAGAACCGTCCCCAAAGTTTCGATCAATAATTAATCTTGTCAAATGCTACGTAAATCTATTCACCTATATAACTTATAAACCAGCCACAATATTAAATAAAATGAAGATGTGACGTTTATAATAGAGTATGATCAACGTAGCATTTGTTCACCATAATGTTTCGTTGTGTAATGTAATAAATACATATGGGGTACTTTTAATTTGTAATGTGTATAGTGATCGGATATTCGGTTACAATGTTTTTGTAAATGAATTTCGCACTTACAACACTGAGAAATATCACATAGTTTGAGTATATATTTCGAATACAATGCACTCCCCAATCATAATTAATTATGGTTAAAAAGGGCTTGAATCATTTGTAACATTCCCCGATATAAATAGCATACTAATTAATGGGTACCACGTACGGTATATAGGCATAATAATCTAACCATAAATGCCGTAAAATAGTGCACAACGCATTTTGAAGTAAATAAACATACATCAGTACGTACATGAAGCGAAAGCCATCGGCCGAAAAGTATTAGGCACTAACTAATGATTTTCCATTTTCAAAATAATTATAAACTTTATGAAATAAATACGTATTGATAGTCTAACGGATTCCAATTAGTTCTAGAGACACGGTACGTATTTTTATGAAACATTTACAAATTATCAGCAATGATTATTTAGAGCAAAACCTTTAATCTTTTTTTAAGCATTAAGTATACACTTAAGCAGTTTAAATGTCACGAGTTTAACTTTCTAGTACCGAGTTACATTTTGTAAGAAATCAAATCGAAACACAAATTCAGAGTGTGTTAGCTGAAATTAATTAAATGAGGAACTTAGGATGCATATATATTCACCAAATACAACGTAGCTTAACCCAGCCTTAATGTAGGGAGTCCAAAATGCAATAGTGCAATACATGAGAAGTGAGAAACTTAGAATATTTTTCACTTTAGCATTCTTATTACTACGTACAAAAAGTATAATTTTACATACTTTTTGATACATCTTACAAACGTCTATGACCAGCTATTCTTTTGTCCGTGAATAGTTTGTTCATAACAAAATGTTAAGCCTGTGAACAGACTATTCACAGACAAGAAATAGTTACAAAATGATTTGTACTAAAAAAATGTGTACACATAGTTTTTTTAAACCGGAAGGTAAACCACCAAAATCTGTAGGGTAAATGTCGGGAAACATTTACCAGAGTTTTATTAAAATAAAGAGAAATACAGATAGAGGGGGGGGGGCTAGGCAAATACCCCTTCGGAGAAGGCATACCTCCTCAAAGATACATAAGTGAAAAACAAGAATAAAGAATTTTGGGGGACTAGACCTTACCCAAAATTAAAAATAAAAAAATAAAAAACTCAGGGGCATTGGCCTGGAGAAAAATAGCCAAAAAAATAAAATCTAAGTGAAGGAATAACAAAATAATCCGGATCCGGAGCCTTTACCTTGCTTTAAAGCAAGGCAGGGTGCATGCTCTTCGGGGCCGTTCGATTGAGAATTGGACGGCCAAGATCTTGGGCTCCACCCCTTCACCGATCCCGAGGTCCTCCTTGTCGCTTCCCCGCCGTTGGATGTCGCAAGGCACTCTGCCTTATGGCAGAGGATCCTGATCCAAATAATCCATATAAAAGGCCCGTTTAGCACCAATGGGAAGGGACAATGGGCTTCTAAATAATACCAAGTGGGCCACATGAGCATCAGCTAAACAATGAGCAACCCAGTACCCCTCCCTCAACGTATAACCAAACTCGATCCATTTCCTGATTGCGATAACTGAGGTTTCCTAAATTATATACTTCCACCGACGCACCCCTTGTTTTTTTATTCACATATGACTATACGCGTAGTTTTTTTGTTCTTATGAACCCATTAGTCAACATGCTTTGTGTATTTCTCGAGGAGTCGAGGAGCTGACGTCCAATTAGATAGACGTTTAGATCTATATCAATTTTGATAATTATTGAATTAACATCTAAACTCAACACAATAATTTAACATTAAATTCCTTCAGCTAATTGCTATTTGGAATAATTGACATTTCAAGTATGACTCGATTTATGAAACAATAGTTTACAATCAACATGGCCAATATACAGCTTTAAAATTTTCAGTCTAAAATTTAGTTATACACATGAATTTGCGGGTAAAGTTTATATTGATCTTGTGTCCTCGCGGCTAAGGGCCCAACATGTTCTTTGGTGTTTTCGTTGGATAAGGCAAGTATGAAGCACATACAATAGCAAGAAGCTAGATAAGAAGTAAAGTGAGTCAAATTCTATTAAACACTTAAAATAATTACAACATATCATTGTCAAGCCCGAGCTTCGACTTTCTATTCTACCCTGAAGATTACAGAAAAACTAGAGAAAAGTCTATTGTTAAGTATACAAGTTTGTCAATCCAATGCAATGAAATATGTGCAAATACTTGTACTAACTAGTAGGTAGTACACTAGTACGTGGAGAAGTGATGTGTTCAACCATAAAACGCTCATAGGTAGTGCTTTAAGTGCGCCCCCGCCACTTCTATCTTTCCTCCTGATTGCTTTGGATAGCTCTTCCTCAGGCAGTCAATGGTACTGAGAAGGTGTTAGAGAAGGTGTCAAGTGATATCATCCCGACCAATGGACCCGTACGGGTAGGCCTGTAACGACTGTCAATGGGTCGGGTCTAGACCCGGACCCAATCCGAATCCGGCATTTTATTTGAGGGTATGGGTCTGAATTTAGAACCGTTTCCCGGATCCGGATCCGAACCCGTTAAATGATACTCCGGTAGAAAAAATGGGTCTGATATGGTTTTTTTAGTTCTGGCCCGTTTTGGACCCGACCCGTGATGATATAATTGTAGTTGTAATTTTTTACATATACACACACAATATACATAGAAATATTTAAACATAAAATAAGGAAAATATCAAATATAAAAATGTTTTAATATTTGTAGACTTAGTTAGTGGTTGGCCCACTATAATGGGATTTTCGCTAATGAGTTATTGCTCTAGGTTCTCTATGAGTTCACTAATATACATAAAACATACTTCATATATTATTGTATACGGGGTAGTTCATAAAGAGTAATGTATAGAACAACATTTTGCTTATTTATATATGATCTCTTCCAACATGAACAATTTCTTGTTATATACGATAGTATTATATTTGTTTGCATATGTCATTTAGTTTTTTTTGCGGGTATACCTGGCCCGGATCCGAAACCCGCCGGATCCAAATCTGGAACATATGTTTAGGACCCGAAGGGTAAATGAGTCAGGATCTGGACCAAAATAATTTCAACGGATATGGATATGAAATGTATAATTCCGGCCCGTATCTGACCCGTTGACAGGCCTACGTGCGGGGCATCCCGAATCGGGTGAGCCAGAAGTGGGTCCTTATGCTAGTTGGGTCCTTATGCTAGTTGGGCTGCCTGGGAGTACCTAGGTCTGGACCCAATATCCCAACAGCGTTATATACTTGAACTTACTACACAAGTTTAAAACATTGAAATATTCATATGCCCACTTCTGGAAAATATACGGATTATATGTTAAAAATAGTCATAAATTAACAATAAATTATTGTCCTTAAACGTTAAAACAATGGCAAATTGTAATAATTTTTTTGATGGAGCAATTTGTAATAAATTCATAATGTCTAACATTTATATTTATTTGGATGGTCAGGGAAATTTCCCTCCTCATACCTGAATCCCAAACAGACGAGGGAACTCGTAAATATTCTACGAGGCTCCTTCCTACAATCCTACGTATCAAAACACAACTATACCTTCCTTTTTTGAGCCTACATACATGCCACGTTCCCTCTTTGCGTGTGCCCTTGCAAATAAGATGAGTGCAACTCTCCAAACATTAAGAATTCAACATTGAATTGGAAGCTCTTCCTTCCCAAAAGCAGATTATTCTTCCCCCACTAACCACACTTTTAAAATATCAATTTCCATCCTAAAAAGAGATGCCCTTAATTGATTCTTTGCTCCACCCATAAACTCCAGGCTCACAAGGCCAATACACAAACACACCAAGTTTTCTTTTCTTTATTCTTCTCCATTTATGGCTCAAGAGCCACAGGTACATATGCTTTCATTATATCACCTTGATATGTTCTAATGAAACCTAGCTCCAAATCCATAGGGATATAATCTGATCTTTCAAGTTGTCCAGAGAATGCAGGGAAGTTGGGTCACTGAGGTACAGGTCCGAATGGACTGCAATGGGTGTGTTCAGAAAGTCAAGAAGGCTTTGAATGGAATTCATGGTAAGTATGTATTAACTGGTTGTGAGAACCTTAAGCTTTCAATATCTTTTTTCACCTTCTGGAAAAGCTATTTTGTGCCAGTAGTGGGAAAATTCATCAAGTACATGGGAGCAGGTTTATAGTCTTTTGAGGTGGCTTTGATGCCT